TTTAGCTTGCAGGTAGCCAAGAGTGATCTTGAAGGCAACTAATCTTAGTTTAGTCTCTGTGTGCTGAGGAACTAAGGCAATATATATATCAGCTTTATTTCGTAGGCTTTTAAAGCCATAAATTAGTTTCTTTATAAAACCCTCTGTCTGCAAAGGTGTAAAAGACAAGGAAATTATAACCCAGTTTTTCAACCTGTCTGACAAGTACAAGGTACTAGAATTCAACCCTTAATTGAGTTTCTGGCACCTTCCTACACTGAGTCCAGTTCTCGCTGTTTCCAAATTCACAGCACTTCATGGCTGTGAACTCAGTTGGAGTTTGTTGATGTGATATCTCAAAATATCTTGGCTTGTGGAGAGCTCCTGCCCCTCTTGTGTTTTACTGAGCACATGTGATGAGCTGAATAGTTCAGGGTTTGGGGGTGTGAGGGGGCGAAGTTGTTCTGCTTCCTCTTAGTCATCCCAGCCTTATGCTCAGGGAAAGGCAGGAGCTGTGGCTAAGCAGTCCTGTGTTCCAGTCTGGGAAGGTTTTTCTTCAGACGTTACAGAAACTGGTGTTTATTGTGTCCGTGCACAGAACCACATCTGTGCTGGCCACAGGGCACAGAAACAGGAATGCTGCCCTTAGGCTGAGCTGCCTGAATTTCCTAGGCTGAATTTCAGGACTGATGGCATTTTTAAAGAAGTTTTCTGAAGTTTTGAATGAAGAGATTTCCTGGGAATTGAACTAGGTGTGATGCAAGTACCTACTGAAGGACATGTGCCTGGTGTTCTCATTGTTTAGTGTTCTGTCACTGCTTTTTTTTTTCCCCCTGAGAACAGTTGCAAGCAAGAACAAATCTAATCCTCTGACAAACTTCTATCAGTGACACACAATGGTGATACACAATTGTTTTTCAAGGAGAGTGTTTGTTTGCACTGATACATGGATTACCTGGTAGGAGAGAGGTGTTAATATATCAGTTAAGAAAAAACAAAACTTTGATTCTGTCTAAGACTGACCCTCAAATGACAAATTCGTATCTTTGGTCTTAACAGTTGTGATTGAGGAGCGATTTTACAGCTTTTTTTTTCATTCATATACATAGCAAACAAATGTAAAATCCAGTAACATTTGAAACTGATGGTTCTTGACTTTTAAGCATTGCTCAGTGGGGATTTGACTCCTTGTCCTCTGCTGCAGTATTATTTAACAGGATTTCATTGATGCAGATCAGCAGTGACAGACTGCGCTGGGGATGTCTGAGGAAGAGACAAAAGACTGAGTAAAAAGTTTGATGATCCTCATAGGAACTGTTTAACTTCCTGGAGATGCATTACATCATGTTCAGCTTCATTTCCTTCACTTAAAGGATGTTTGTGACTAGGGTACAGTCAGTTTTAAAACTGCAGAAACAAACAGGGTGCTCTGGACTCGTGCTGGAGAGAGATGCTGAGAGCATGCTGCACCGTAATCAGTGCTCAGCTGTTCATTGCATCGAGGCCTCCTGCATGAGGAGGCATGAGGAAGTATAAAACCAAAAGGAATATAGCCTGAAGTGAGGCAGAATCAGAGGAGCAGTAAGTGCTCTGACTGAATGCTAATTAAGAGCTGGATTCCCGGTAGTCAGTAGAACAGTGGATGTGTATACCAGAAGTGCAAGAACTACTGAACTGCAGAATTTACTACAGACATCTCCAATTAGATGGGTAAGACGAGACCATTTTCACACTGACTGGCAAGGACTGAACAGATGTCTGTGGTGGTTTACAACCTTCTCCCTGCTGACCAGCACCCACAGATCTTCAGCTGGCTTTAAAGCACATTCCTTTGCCTTGTGCTCATTCATATCTTTAGAGAGCACTTCCAGCAAAAGAGCTGGTAAATCCTCTGCCTGTACCAGAGTGCTCATTCCTGCCTTCCTGGCTATGTTCCTTTTCTCCTGGACATGTGTACGGGGAATTTCCTTGTGAATTCTGTTATAAACCTCTCTACCCTAAAGTAATACAGAAAGGGCAGGAGGAGTTTGGTTTTATTCCGTTTCTGCTAGGAACTTTTATTCTGCACAGCTTAACCTCTTGCCTTGCCATCAGTGGAATTTGGCATGTATTTAAAAACGTAAGTTTGGTATTTTGGCTTAAGTTGATTTCAGTTTTATTTGTCCCCATCTATGAACTTACTCTATGTTCTGTCCAACCAAGTGATGAAAAATGTTACAACTGAATTATTTCCCTTGAGAAGCTTTTCCAGAGTGGTCACAAAGAAATATGACTTTGATTTGTATATAATTTGCGGGTTTTTAGCATTGTCTAATACCAGATATTTTATTAGCATTCAAATAGTCTGACCTGCACATTAAGCACTTAATTAAGATGTGTAAATTTTTCCCCTCCTTCCCCCCTGCAGTTATTTAAGCCTGTCTGGCAGTGGCACATAGGGCAGAGATCAGTGATGGAGTGCAGAGCAGCTGCCTCAGCAGCTAAAGGCAGGGGAATTTGCCTTTTTTTAAAAGTGAAGATTGTTTTATGTCTGCTCTAGCCATGTCAGGCCTCAAAGTGAGCTCAAAGAATTCTTGATGCAGGAGGGGAAAGCTTAAGTCTCTGTATAATTGCATCAACATAGAGCAGCACAACTTGTTTGTATAGATTAGGCTGTGAGAGTCCCCAAATTTGGGTTCATCCTCAACAAAAGAAAGTTGAGCTTCTGCTTATCTGTTTTTTGAGTACCATTTGACACTGGTATAGACCTGTGTGACAAAGGTTTATTAAGCCTTCCCTGCCTTGTGTAGCTTTCAGGATGAGACACTAATACCTGGGCTCAGTCTATCACAGCGGTGTGCTGACTGAAGTCTTATGTAACATTGGGAGAAAAATGCTCTGGGGTTTTTAATAAAGAAGTCTAGAATGGCCATGACACAGAAATCCAGTCATTTTCTGTAACAGAAACCTTAATATCCTTAAGTCACTAACTTAAAATTAACTGCTATTAAGAAAAGCAGTTACTGAGAAAGCTTGTGGTATGTTGATTATGTTTTGGGCAATAAAAAACTGTTTCAGTCTTTATGAAATAAATATCAGTGGTCATGGCTCAGACTGAAGCATTTTCCAGTGGGCAGCAGTGACGTGCTGGGCAGTTTGTGAGTGTACCTAAGGATGTATCAGCAAGTATTAAAGCTGCTGCTTTAGGCTTATAGCACTTAGTCTGGGTTGTTCTTAAATGGACTAAGAGCCTTTAGTGGAGATTTTTGATACCTTGCTAAGAATCAAAGGAAGATTGATCAGGTAGTCTAGAGAGGAGAAGTGATGACACTGCAAATTGAGAAAAGGGGAATATTTCTCACGTATATGGAAGCCACCATGGAAAGGAGCTGAAGAGCAGGAGAGAGGGAGGGCTTTCCTTTGCCCCTGAAGCATGTGTGATTGCTGCTCTGGTTCATCTCTAATTTTTTCAGTTCAGGCCTAAACAAAAGGCTGATCCAGGGCTGGGGGACAGGAAGAATTTTAACTAGTGCCAGCACCAGTTGCTGCCAAGGCCCTGTTGGTCTTTGTATTTTCTCAGCTATAAAATGGGAGTAATAACACTTAAATTATGTATCATTCAGTGTTGTGAGTGAATTAGAGAATGCTGCATAGGCCTTTGAAGATGAAATGCATAATATAAACGTTGTATAAAGCTTACGTTGTGTCATGACTATAGAACCCTGTGGTAATGCAGAGCCAGGATTGCTGGGAAACATAAGGAGAGGCACAGGGCTGGCTGCGTGCTAAGTCACTTCAGGAGAGCAGCAGAACAGCACAGTCACACAGATTTGTGCCTTGCTGACAACCATGCAGACTGGCACAACAGCATGGAAACACTTCTGAACTAAAGCTTTTATTCTTGTCCTGTCCAGCCTACTGCTTCAGGAGGATTTGCTTTGGTATGTGTTATGAGATATCAGGAGTGGCAAAGGGAAATTAAATGTGAGCTCTGTTGATTGGTATTTCTGACCTAAGACATGGAGCATTAATGAGGTAGATGCCAAGGTAGCATGGGGTGCACGGAGTTTTAAGGGGAAAAGAAGGAAGGAAGGAAGGATGGAGATACACATGCACTGCTCCAGGAGCTGGAATTTAACATCAGCATTTGTGTGATGAGCTAAACTGGGATAGAGTGAGAGCTGGTGCTAAAATGCTTTGGTGAGCAAAATTTGGAGAATTGATTAGACAAAAGCAGCAGCGCTAACTCATTTTTTATTTAGTTTACTCTCTTGTTCCCACCGTTGAATCTTTCTTACTGCTACATACAGTAACTTTGTGTTCTGAAGATCTGTAAGCTAGTTTTGACTCCCACCTAGCACAGCTGCCCAACTTCTCACTGTTGTTTACTATCCAAAGGGGTTTCATTTGGTAGCTAAGGCATGATTGATATTTTTTTTTTTCTTTCAAAGAATGTTTGGCTCCTTGCCATGTGCTTTGCAACTGAGCCATGTCATGGTACAGTAACTTTGTCACAGGTGTCAGCAAGCTCCTTGACAGTGCTTGGAGTAGTTTTACCTGTTGGGGGCTTACAGTGACTGAGATGAATAAGTTGCATCTTACTGGAAGGTCAAATGAAAGAAATAGCAGATTTGTGGGTCTCTCTGGTGGAAGAATACAGAAACACAAACCTATTCCAGATCAGCATTGCTAAATCCACACAGAAGCACAATTCAACAGTGAAGGAGGAAAGCTGTTGCTGTCTTTGGGGTCATTTTGTATAAAAGCCATGTGTGTCTTATTAACCTGGGGCTTGGAGGATTTCAAGCTCATATAGTCACACAATGAAGTAGGTTAATTTTGTTTGAAAATAGATCATTGCTTGAGTTTGAACAGTGTATGTATTAGTGTCTCCTCCAAATAACTGCACTGTGCATTGAATTCTGACCAGAGGTTTTTCCACACAGGTTTAGGAATAAAGTTTACTATAAGTTTTTTCTCTCCAGTTGAATCTTGTCTTACTTAAACAAAGTTTGCTTGTTTTCTCTAAAATTTCTCTTGCAGATCTTAGAATTTCAAGACATGTATTTCCTTGGACTGTTGTCTTTGCTAGTTTTGCAAAGTGAAGCCTTCAAGACCAACTTTCCTGATGAAACCATTGTGGAGCTCTCTGTGAATGTTTACAACCAGCTGAGAGCTACCAGAGAGGATGAGAATATCCTCTTCTCTCCTCTGAGCATGGCAATAGCCATGGGAATGGTGGAGCTTGGAGCCCATGGAACCACTTTGAAAGAAATTCGACATTCCTTGGGTTTTGACAACTTAAAAAATGGTAAACCTTTTAATTATGTGTTGCTATGGAGCTTTTTGCCTTAAGGAAACAGGTGGTGATGTCTGAACATGGATGGAAGTGGCCTAGTCATGTCCATGGATTATTAATCACTTGGCATGCTGTGGATGTCCTGGGAATGCTGACACATGTTTCAGTGGGCTCTGCGTGAGCTGAGAGATGCTGACACACAACCCTGGCTTGGGTACCTGAATCTTCAGTGATTACAGCTAACTGGGGATCTGTCTGCAAAATAAGCTTCTCTTTGCCTCTGTAGAGTTACAAGAAGATTTTTAGGAACATCTTTTTTGGGGATTATAAAGAAACCTGAAAAGGAAGGTAGTAGTTTGAGCAAAATTGCTTACTGATATCAAAGTAACTGGTTTGAAAATGAAATTACTTATTCATACAATGAACTGGACTTTCAAGTCCTCAGTGGAAGGATCTTGGGGAGGAATTTCTGAACAGTGATCAAGTCCTACTTGCGGAGATGATGCCTCTCCCTGGAGGCTATAGCACAAATTTGCTCTACAATTTGTCTCTAAAACAATACTCAATTATCCCTTAGCTGTAATTGAAGAAATTATGCAGTTGATTTGAGTGTATGAGTGGTATTCAGCAAAAGCATTCCCATGATTTCTGCAGTTTTTAAGGTTTATTTTGTTGGTTTTTAAGTTAGAAATTTCAGCTTCAAGTATATGATGCTACAATACAAACTTCCTATCTTAAAGCAGTGTGTGTTAATCCCACTCAGGATTCCTCATTACCCAAGCAAATGATTCTGCACCGCCCCACAAAGGAAATTCTAGGCCTGTGTTTTGCAGAGGGGATTCTGTGGCAAGTCCTTAGCTTGAGAACTAGAAGTTCATTTTTCCTTAAACAACTGTCTTTTGGGATGTACTGAAAGTTCTAGTAAGGATTTGTGATGACAAAACGTACAAATGTGACTCGTAAGAGTAATTTTTTTAATTACTCTTGGGGTGTTGAAAGGATATCCATTGACAGCTTTGTCTCTGATGGGATCCAAATGTCTCATTAATTATGCTAATTATAGCTAGTAGAAAAACTAAGCTCTAAGTAATATGTTCTTGTAGATTATCCCTTCAGATCTGAAGGTTTGTGTAGGTTTAGAAACAAGTTAATTTAAAAAAAAGTTTTTTTGCATAAAATGTCTTTGAATTTTCAGCAGAAAAAAAACCCATGGAAAAACTTTCCTGAATCACTGAAGCTGTTTTGCTTTCCTCAGGTGAAGAGTTTACCTTCCTGAAGGACCTTTGTGATATGGCAACTGCTGAAGAAAGTCATTATGTCCTGGATATGGCCAACTCTATGTATGTGCAGAATGGATTCCATGTCAGTGACAAATTCCTGCAGTTGGTGAAAAAATACTTTAAAGCTGAAGTAGAGAATGTAGATTTCAGCCAAAGTGCAGCTGTGGCCACACACATCAACAAGTGGGTGGAGAATCACACGAACAGTAAGTCCATTTGATTCTTTTGTACACTTCTTCAGGAAATGGTTCTGTCTCCAAAGCAGGTGTTGAATTGTTGCCTTGGTTTTTAGCTGTTCTGTTTGGGACTGAAGTTTCTCCTCCCATTAAAAGAATTCTTGTATTTCTATTTCTTCTTGTGTAGGAATGATCTGTCCTAAGTAATATCAGTCATTGTTAATCATGTAGTATCTATTGGAATATTTTTTCTCTGGTCTTACCTGAAAGTACCTCTAACATTTATTGAATGAGAGTGTTTTAACATTGGGAATTTCAATAGTATTTTAATACTGATTTTGGTATTAAATTATATTTTAAAATGGTAAATATTTTTGCTAATGGTAGAAAAGTTGTCTACAAAGGGGTTATTGGCCCATGCTTTGGATGTGTGCAGTATCACCACTTCTCTGAGGAACTCATACTTACAGGCTACAGAGAAATTGAATATTGGGGACTAAAAAAAGTTAATTTTGAGCCACAAAATCAGACTCAGTAATGTCATCTTTTGAAATGTGAGGAAACTAGGTAGTGTGTTGAGAGAGTAGTTGATTTTAGGAAGACTGTCAACACTTTCACAACACAAATTTGCAACAGGGAGTAAGCACAAAAATACTGTTGTAAATAAGCACATCGAGAGCTGCAAGATGCAGTACTCAACTGGCTTGGCAGATCCCAGAGAGGTGACATTTGCTGGATACATGCAAATTCTCAGGGTATAGGAGTGAGGTTAGTCCTTGTGGTAGGGATCAAAGCATAATCTCATTCTGGTTCATCTGACCCACTCTGAAGGTGATATTTTAAGAAGAATTCAGGGAGGGTCTGTCTCTGACATTGTAAATTTGAAGGGATTGGAATCATCCATGAGGAATTAACACATTCCCATGTAGTCTGAGCATTTAAGCATCCCTAATGCCTCCTGGAAATGTATGGCTCCAAAGTAGAAAACCACCTCATGTAATGCTTTTATTCCATTTTGGAAATGATGTGTTTTTTTCCAAGGGAACATGGCAGCTATTATGTTCATAACAAACTCTGCCCTTTAGCTCAGGCTACAGAAATAGATGGAATGCAAGTGATGCAGCAGATTGCAAAGTGTTTTCAGGGAAATGTGGTGTCTGTCTGAAGGAAAAGGGAAATTATTTCTTCTAGAAAGAACAGCAAGTTCTGCTTAGCATCTGCCCTGTGTGCTGCCCAGGCTCATAGCCACTGCCCTGGCAGGAGCTGTGCAGGGCTAACAGAGGCAGCTCTGGGGCTCTTACCATCAGGTTTCGATAGTAACAAGCCCTCAGCTGGTCTCTGACCACTCAATCTCCTGCCTGGCCGCTCTGAGGGAGGAGAAGGCTTATTTTCTCCTTAGGAAAGAAGCACAGGACAGGCAGCTTTCCAGTTCCAGCATGTTAAGCATGATGGGAGGGAGGCTCAGAGCAGAAAACAGAACTGTCAGAGGTTTCTCTGGGCAGAAAAATTCTGAACGTTTCCTAAGTTTATTAAAATGAGGCTGAAAAAAGATAACGGAATATGACATACAAAATAGAAATAGAAATCTCAAAAAGTGTTTTCCTTCTTACTGTTTCCTTTTAGTTTATCCAACCCCAGGTGAGTATATGGCAGTATCAGTCACACCTCATTCCAAGTAAAACGAAGCACAAACAGCAACCTGGAAGAAATAGTGCCCTGTGATAGCCAAATCTCACAGCAGTTAGTCAGGATCACATGCTCCAGAAAGCAGAATTAATTTGTTTTTTAAACCATGCATTAAGGAGTAATAATCAGAGTGAGGAATGTGTTTATTTTAACACCTTTCATTGCCATGTCAGTTAAAAATAGAAGTGAGCAGGAAAGCTCTCTGAAGTAGGCTGTAATCCTTCAAGAACAGTGACAGATCTGGTCAGTGCACCAAATTTACCAAACTGGAGATGCCTGGGCTGAAAAGGAAGCTATTTGAGAAGAGCTAAAGCAGGTAACAGCCTGTATTCTGATGTAAATGATTTACAGGAGTAGGAGCAGAGCAGCTGCCCTGCTCAGCTGCCACACCTCCCATGAACAGAGCAGATGCTAGATGGTTTTTCTCTTTTGCTTTTCAAGATCTAATGTGAGTGGAACAAATGCTGTGAATTTATGGGGGTTCTTGATTAGTCCTTACTTTGAAGTCAGTGAGGCAGTACTGAAACTGAATTCTTCCTTCAAAATGGGCCCAGATGTATTTCCAATGGATGCATTTACACCCTTTAAATCCAGCACCCATTTAAGTGCTTCTCTGGATTGGAGCCAAAGTTTGTGCAAGTTCTAACCTTAAGATCAAAGTGCTGAACTGTTTCATATCACCAATGTAAACATTCCTTATGTGACCCTTTTTTCCACATGGTTTCATTGTGGGATATATTTTAATAGTGATAAAGCAACAGTTGACTAACTTATACTTGATGGAAGGGTTTCTGCACCTACACTGTGATTTAGGTTTACAAAACACTGGCAGTTTAATTGGAGATTTAATGAAACATCTGAATTGGAAATTACATGTTAGCACAGCTTTTTATTTTCTTGCATTTTTCAAGCTGTCTTAAGTTTGGATTTCCTGCTCCATTTGACATGCAGACTGACAGTTGGGTTTCTCCTTAGGTATGATCAAAGATTTTGTGTCTTCAAGAGATTTTGGTGCCCTAACTCATTTGGCTCTCATCAATGCAGTCTACTTTAAAGGCAACTGGAAGTCACAGTTCAGACCTGAAAATACAAGAACTTTTTCTTTCACTAAAGATGATGAAAGTGAAGTGCAAATTCCAATGATGTACCAGCAGGGAGAGTTTTACTATGGTGAGTTGGACCTTTAGCATTGTAAAGCTAGTAAACCTTCCTTCAATGGGTTTTTTGCAGCAATACTCACTTGTATTGTTGTCTGTTCTTTCTCCTAGAATTTTTAATATGAAGGGACTCAGATTTGGATGTCTCTCCTAATGTGTGTATTACAACTAGGTAGCAACACTTGTAATGACCTATTTGGTGCCACATAGTGGATTTCAGAGTGTTGATCCATTGTATTTCACCTCTTTACAATTCTTGAGCTAGTCCTGCTTATCACAAAAGTACTTTTCTCATGCTGTGCTAAATATTGAAATGAATAATATTTGCTCATTACTGTTGTAATATCCTTGGAAAGGTAAAATAGAGGTTCTTGGAGCAGCAGAACTAATGATTGGTTTTATCTTGAGCTTCAGCTCCAGGTGGGTTCTACAGTGTGTGGCATTGGCAGCATTTTACTCAGCCTCGTCACTGAAAAATTATGTCTCCTAATAAAACCTCTGCCCATTCCCATGAAAGTCTTGGCAGCCTTAAATTTTAGACTTCTCTCTGTCTAACTAGTGGCAGTTAGGTCATACAAGTGTGACTGCCCAAGCTTCTATTCTTTAAGAAATCAAATGTAAGCCTCAAATCCTATGATCAACAAACCAATATAATTTCTATACAGAACAAAAATGGTAATTTTTAGTTCCAGTATCTAGTAAATACTGCCTAGTGTTAGGCTTCTATTTCCCCCTGTTTCCAGTGAAGACAAAAGAAAATACTCCTACTAGGTTTTGTGTTGTTTTTATGTTGCAGGAGAGTTCAGCGATGGCTCCAACGAAGCAGGTGGCATCTACCAAGTTCTGGAAATCCCTTATGAGGGAGATGAGATTAGTATGATGATTGTCCTTTCCAGACAGGAAGTTCCACTGGTCACATTGGAACCACTGCTCAAAGCCTCCTTGATTAATGAATGGGCTAATTCTGTCAAGAAGCAAAAAGTGGAGGTGTATTTACCAAGGTGAGAACACACTCCCATGTCACTGGAAGGGGAAGGATTGCATCTAGACTGATTGGAGGAGCAGGATAGGGAAAACTTGAACATCTTGCTCCAGCCTCAGTCATGCAGCAACACATGAAGGCTGCTCTGACAGGAAAGCCCAAGGGATTTGCAGTGCAGAGTGATGGTTATTTGAGCAACAGATGAGCACTGCATTTACATTTCTAACCTGAGACCTCCAGAAAGGAAAGTTTCCTCACCAGCAGCATATCCACTCGGAATGATGTTCAGAGTATTGCAGCACACATTATGGATATGTTCCATTAAGACAGAAGCCACAGAAATATTGCAAGTCTGAACTATCAAATGTTTCATTAAGGTGCTAATTAAGTTTCTGTGTGCTGCTATTTTAAGACCTTCTAGTGGTGTGTGTCTGCGTAGATACAAATGGTTGAGTGTTAGAGGTAATTCCAGTCAATTTGGGCATTTTGCTGAGCTGTAATAAGTGCTGGTTTCTTTTTCCTTAGAGGAACAGCAGAATAACAGGGTGGTACTCCCAGAAGGGATGAAACTTGCGTCAGTTCATTTGCAGACACAGGTGGTGTGTGCTCAGTGTCAGACTAGCTCACATAGGCCACTGAAGATCTTTCCTAGAATTCTGTTTCATCCACTTCCAAGTATTTTTCAGGCTTTCTCTATGCTTGACTTAGTAGCAGACTTGTTTACTACTAAATGTCACTAACAATGTGCAGTTGGATCACAGTGTCCTTTGAGTGATTCATAATGATTTCATGGAAGTGTTTATGTAATAATCAGGCACATGTTTGATGGAGATCACTTCTACTTACTCTCTTTTGTGGCACTGTGCAGTGGGTAAGTGGCAGCAGAAAAAATACAGTCTAGTGAATCCTTTTCATCATTCAAGTAGTTGTTTGTTTGCAGGTGACTTGGAGGTTTGAGTTTGGTTTATTTCACATGTTAAGACTCCCTGCAGTTCCTCAGCTTCCTTCCCAAAGCAAAGACCACTTTCCCAAAGCTGACTGCAGCTGAGCACAGGGAAACAAGGCTAGCCAGGATAAATTAGACTGAGATGGACTGGTGCTGTCACTGTGCCCTGATTCCAAGTCAAGATGGAATTCCACTTCCCTGCAAAGCCTTCAGGGCAGAGTGGTGAGGGAACAGCAGCATTTTGGGGCCATTCTTCGCTGCCCTATGGTAAGAGTTTCTCTCTTATGTTAGGTCACAGTGCCTTTGAAGAAGCTGGAGAGCAGCAGAGCTGCATTGCAGGCACTGTTCCTGGGGTTTTTGCTTGTTTGTTTTCTCTTGGAGCTTCAGGTCCCAGGGGTTTAAGTATCAGCAGTCCACTAAGGTGCAGGGAGGGGAATTTCTCCTAGGCTGTTCCTCCTGGGAAGACCTTCCTGCATACTAATGAGAAGTAAAGTAAGATTCTTCCATCCCTTAAGCTTTCCTTTCGTAACTGGAGCATTTCCTAGCTGGTGCATCAGGTGCTGAAGTTGGACATCATCTCTCAAAGCATTTCTAGAAATCTCTCTCCATTGATCAGAGAGACTCTGTGCAAACCAGCTCCCACATTTCACTAATCTAGGTATTTAAACACATGAATGGCATTGAAAACATACTAATTACATTTATGACTTGAATTAAGTTTTATATAGGTGATTTGGGGCTTGGTTTGCTCCCAACCAAGAGCAGAGACTCCAGAATTCCCTGTAAGCAGGTTCTCAGCTGTGAAACAGAGGCCTGGGTTTTGTGTGATCACAAAATGTCCTTATTTATTCTGCCCTCAGGCTGCTTGTAATACCTGTCACTCTTATCCAAGAACCTTGATAAACACTTGCAAATTAAATCTATACAGAGGCAAACCAGGTAGAACCACATGCCAATTACCTTCTGCATTTTCAGGTTATGAAAGATAACTATCTTGAGTTTGAAGTTCTATATGGTAATACTGCAGTCTCCTTCCAAAAACTACAGAGATGCTCCCAAGGTGTTGGATTTCCAGTTGCGAATCAGAGGTGATCTACAGGGTTTTGTCAATGCTCTAAATAAACACTTCATAAATATTTGATGCTCTGACTCAGGAAAGCCTGTTATGAAATGTGGCCTCCAGGCTCTGTCCACTGAGAAATTGAAAGCAGTGGTGGAATAAAATTATATTTTTATATCTTGAAAGATGTTATCCAATTATAAAGTGAACATTTTTTAAACTTATACATTTGTAACAGGAGCTGTATGACTAACCAAGGCAGAGTTAATCACAACTTTGCAATTTCTGTCTGCATTATCTGTGTGCAAATGGAATTGTGTATTATTCCTCTTAATAGCAAAGGAGAGATTTGTACAGAATTGTTAAATGATACTTTCTCATTTTCATTTTCAAATCATTGTTTCCAGCTTAACCCAGACTAAAATGATCAACATTTTAATCCACTTTTTGCATAGGAGTGAAGCAGACCATGAATCTAATTTACAAAGCTGTCTCTCTCTAACATAAATTATTTGAAGAGCATAGGAGGAACTAGTAGCTAAGAGCAGTGCTACAATTTGCAGATCTCCTCTTAGGGATTGTTCTAGTGTGCCCAAATCTCTATAATGACCTTCTAGCTTTTTTTGTACATTTAAAGTATCTTAAAAATGTTTTAGATGGTGTCAAAATGATAAGTGGTTTTAGCTGAAGGTTGTTTTCTCTAGAAGAGACAAAACCTAAATAACCAAACCACTCAAAAATCCCCATAAAACCCAATAAAAATCCAAATCCAAATAAAAAAAACAAAGCAGGAATTCTTTTTTTTTTCCTTTTTTAATAACATGCTGTTTCGAGTCCCCTTTTCCTGAGGAATGGGCCAATGTGGATTGGTCTTGAGATACAGCTAGGGAAGAGGCATAAAGCGGTTTCACTGAAATACGTTTTTCTCCAATCCCATATTTTGCCATGGATGGAAGGATCTTGCCCAAGAAAGACCCACAGCCTGCCCTTTCACCTGCCCAGAGCAGCTGAATGGGATGTTTTGGTTAGTTTTGCTGTTCTTGGGGTTTTTTTTTGCTCTCTTGCTTGTTTGTTTTCAGGCTATTAAATCTTGCAGGCTGGTTCCAGCACCTCAGCACAGCCTGGCTGGAATTCCAGCCCAAATGCTGGAATTGATAGCAGTTGGCAGCTTGGCTCTGGAGGCTGCTTGCTGGGTGAAAATAGGGATTAATCTCCTGAGGGTCTGTGCTCCAGGCAAGAATATTGATGTCAAGCAATGCAGCCTTTTGTTCTGCAGAATTTAATCTGTTAGAACCAATCTGAAAACATGGAATTTTCTTGCTTTTACTCATTCAGAGCCTTTGGTAATTTCTGAAATTACAGCCTTTGGGATGAATCACACTAGGCTGTAGTTCACTTCTGTTGTGTAAGTAGAAAAGTGTACCCTGATCCTTCTTGGTCCTGTGGATTCTGAGCATCTAAAAATCATTTAAAAATCAGTATTTGGGAAGGTTTGCACAGCATCTAAAAAGATAGAACCATCTGTTTTGCTCTTTTAAAAGTCTCTGCAACAGAAGAAAGGTGTCCTGGTGTGGTATGGTAATGCTCTATGCAAAACCAAAAGGCTCAGCTACATAACTGCAGGAGAGTCAGTGACATAAATGTATAATTTTCATCTAATGCTTGTGCAAGTTTGAAATTTCATTAAAATATTCTGATTCTCTCCTCAACTCTCCAGAGAATTGTTTGCTGGTTTCACAATCTAATCTTCTGTTCAATGTCTGTTCCTCAGACTTCCCTTTGTGGTTTTTAAAACTCTCACTGGCAACTGTTCTGTGATTTCTGATACTGAAGTATTTAAATTGATTTTTTTCATAGTATTTTTAGCATCAGGAGCACCTAAAAAGATTGTTGGGGGAAAAAAATATGACCATCTGGTTCATTATATGCAACAAGCAGTGCATGTGTCAGGGGTAGTATGTGTAGCTCAGCATTCCCAAAGTCTGAAGGTACAGCAAATGCCTCAGAAATGAGATGGAATGTCAGTTCTGTGTTGTAGGTTGTCAGCTTTGATTTCGAATACTGACATCACTGTCTGTAAGGAATGCCCAGAAATCCTAATGTGACTGGAGGGTAACTCATGCTGAATGTTTGGGTGGGATTGCGTAGCCTCAAATGAAATTTCCAAGTGGAAAGCAGCTCTGTTCTGGATCTGATGTCAGCTGAAATACTGGAAATCTCATTAATAATTCAGCTGTAACTCTGCTCTTCAGAGCTTGTGAGAAAGGAGGGGAAAGACTGTTTGGGATAGTGGCTTGGAGTGGGGTTTTACCATAGGGCAAAGCTAAAAGGGAAGAAGGGAGTTAATTAGTTTTATTCTTGTGGAGGGATTGTTTGATATTTATACAGCTGATGTGATATTTTTGGTCTACTTTATTTGTCATAAAAAAAACAGGAACTCACTTCTGTAAGTATTGTGGAGAGATTCACTCAGGTACCTGTTTGGTATTTGCCTTTCTAGAGGTTTCAGTACAGGATAGAACCTCAATGCTAAGTGACTGCTGCTGTCCCTCACATAGGGATTATTTAGGAACAGAACCAATCAACTTGTTTGCTTCACCTTTTTTCAGATCCAAATGCAGCTGAGGCTTTACAAGTTTGGTTTTTTTCCCCAAAACATCTCCAAACCTCTCCCTTGATCAGTAAGCTGAAGCATCCTCTGCCACACCTGCTTCCTGGCTCACAATCCATCTCTGAGCAGATGTGTTTCCTGTCTTACAGTCTACAGGCTTAAACGCACCTGATTTCCATTTGTGTCTTGTAGTGATACTCTGCAGTTGGAAAAAAATGCCCCCTTTTTTTTCTTTGCAATTATTTTTCTTATTTTTACCTCAAATTTTGCTTTTCATACAGACTTTACATGCTGATTTTCTATCCTGATGCTCCTTACTAATGTGACTTTGCTTGTTCCTACCTAAATTGTGTTGAAACCTTGATAGATTTAATACTGGGTTGAAATAAAATTCAAAAAGGGAAACACAGTCTGAAACTTTTATAAAATCCATTTTTAACATTCATTTGCCTTGTATTTGTAGGGTAGGTTTTGACCAGGGTGAGTGTCCACAGCTTTCTAAGAGAAGAAAGCTAACAGAACACATTTCCATTTCCTAAAATCCTCTCATTCATTCTCAGGTCATTATATGTTTACCTACAACTCTTTCATTTAAATAATGCCTTTTTTTCCTTTTCTTTTTTGGCCTTTAACCAATGCTGCCACACTGCTGCAGAGCATGCCAGAACACCATGAGGAGCTTCTTCCACTACATAAGTCTTTGTTGGTCTCTTCTGATTCTTTTGTTAACTGACAAATCAATAAGATCACATGAATCAGTTCTCATGTTTTTATTCCCGGCGTGTCTTGGAATTGCACTGGACAGGATATGTGAACATTTACAATGCCTTCAGTGATTTATCAATCCTGAACTATCTCCAGATCTTATTTTAACTCCTAAAATTATTCTCTGGACAGTGAATAATACCCACTCCATCATATACTTTTGGCTTCTAATGGCATTCATATGTAGGTTGTGTATGGAATTTTTTCATTTCATGTAGATGTTGTAAGTGAGGAAGATCCAAATTCCTCTTTTTCAAGCTGCCAAGGCTTGTACACACTGAGGTGTTGTACATCAGCTCTGCATCAGCTGTGTTCTGCCCCGAGTTCTGGGCTAGACTTTCTCCTGAAAAGAACATGTTCTTCTATGTAGCTGAGAAAGTTAAATCCTGAAAAAGGAAATGGCACAGAAGCACATGGTATTTTGTTTGGTTCTAACACTTATTTGTCCCATCACTAAGGGCTGAAGTGTAACTGCAGAGTTGTTCCTGACTCAGTGGCTGGAGAAACTCTGACAACACCTTATGGACTATATATTTTTTGTTGTACAGTTAGAACCAATCACTGTCAGCATAATATAAGTCCCTAATGCTTTGGTCATTCTACAGAGATCCCATACAAACATTTATAGTTGGTCTGTTTATCTGTGGACATGTGGTATTTTCTGGCTGAGGCTGCAACTATTATTGTTCTGACTATTATTATTCCTCTGTTTCTCCAGCTGTCCAGTCTGGTTTTGGCCACACAGAAAGGACTTAAGTCTTTCTTTTTCTTTTTTTTCTTGTCTTACTGACACCAAGCATAGCTTTTATACTGTTTGAAAACCAGGAGCTTTTTTTAAATGGAACAAGCTTCTGCCCAAATCTTGCCCTCAGGATAGATGTTTGTCCTTCCAGCACACTAACATGGCCTGGAACAAGGCTGTGCAAGCCAATCCTGCCAGGTTACACTCACCTATGCATTTACACTAACAACTGTTTGTTTTCTTTGTTCTTTGCTCACAATCAAAACCCAATTAAAATTTTGCCACTGGAGTAATGAGAAGCTGAGGCAGAAAGGCTTTATATTCATATTCATAGCTGTTGGTCTTTGCTTAGACTGTCAAAGTAAAAATGGAGTATCTGTTTTACTCCTCCTTTGCCAACAGCTCTTGTTGAAGTTTGTGCAGTCCTTTGCCTCATTTGATATTCTGTTCTAGTATCTGTGCAATTAAATTTGGTTTTTATAGTAAACCTCTTGTAGAAAAAGTAAACATTTCCATTAGCTACTGCATAATTTTGCACTGAGGTTTTATGGTCAGGGTGTACATACCATTAGCATATTTTTGATTGTTTCTGTATTAGGGAAAAAAATCCAGCTGTGAGTAATTGGTTTATAAGCATTTTTTTGGAAGGTGTTACTAGCACTGAATCTCCTACTTTGCATTATTTATCTTTGATGTTTCAATTGTCATTACCTAGAAATTTTAACCTTCTAATAACAGTAAGTAGTGCTTATATCCTGCTTTTTGTAATTTGCTTTTGCTTTCTCCAGGTTCACAGTAGAACAGGAAATTGATCTGAAAGATGTCTGGAGAGGTCTGGGAATCACAGAGCTGTTCAGCAGTAGTGCTGACCTCACTGCCATGTCTGGTAAGAGCTTCTTGTGTTGTCTCTCAGATATATGAGGAAATATATTTTTGACCTGGGAAAGTTTACTCTGAGTATTTCAGACCTGGATCTCATTAGGAATAGAGAGAAAGTGTGATACCATGCAAGAGACACATCCACATTAGAGCAATATATGGCTGCAGTGCCTTGATGGCAGGTGGGATTCACACACCAAAGGAGTTGTCATCCTATGTCTCCAGAGGCTGTTTGTTCACAGCATTAAGAGCATTAAGCTGTTACACAATTAGTCACCTCCCCAGATAGCTGCTGTGTAGAAGCAGCACGGGAAAGAAGGGTTCAGAGATAAAAGCAGTTTAGTCCCATATCCTGCCTGCCTGGTGCAGTATGTTGTCAACACTTTCTCAGTAGTAGAAGTAACCAATACATTTAGAAATTCAGGTGGAAATGAGTTATTTATGCTATTAACACCTCATAAAAGGTATTCATAGATTGGGTTGAGAGGGACATTAAAGATCATCTCATTCCACCCCCTGCCATGGGCAGGGACACCTTCCACTAGCCCAGGTTGCTCCAAGCCCTGTCCAACTTGCCCTTGAACACTTCCAGGGATGGGGCAGCCACAGCTTCTCTGTGTTGAAGTGGCACAAAGATGCTGAGAAGTTGTTTTGTTCTTGCATAACTAAAGGTGCCAGGTGAGCTGTGTATCCAGTATGGTCTGTCTAGACCTGAATTTTTGGGAAACTCAGTTGGCCTCTCTCTAGAAGTATGGGCCAGTGTTAGACTGCTGTCATTGGTTGTGTAATTTATGCCCATACACTGCTCCCTGGATGGTTTTGGATTGTTTTGCTCCATGTATTGCTACCTGACCAGCCATGGAGGTCCATAGCTGATGGGAAAATAACCTGTTCATAATTGTCTCTCCCTGGGAGCAATCACACCTGTGTGACTTGTTGGTCATAAAGGCAAAGCTTCCTCTAAAATGTGTAGTAGAAGTGTTTGTGATGTTCATCTCCTTTCATCTTTGCTAAGTTTGAGATATTGTTTATAGTGTGTCATGCAGCTTATTCTACTGTTTGCTGCTTTCACTTTTCCAGTGAAATTGTGGGAAAATCTTAAGTTAGCTAATATGAAAAGAACTGGAATAAATGAAAAATCCTTGAAAGAAATGTCATTTTTTTCTGAAGAAAAACCCTTTCAGTTTCTCTGCCCTCTCAAAGGCAAGTCAGCTCTCCAATAAATTCTGCTCTCTATAGAGAAAATTATTTACTGGAGGACAAGTACAAAGGAGAATGGAAAATGCACAGGGGAGATGGAGCCACAAAGGCAGTGCCTGGTCCTTATTTAATTCCATGTAAAATTCATCTGTATATCAAGGTCTAATTCTGTAGTTAAGAGGTTGGCAGAAAGGATCACATGTTTGTGTTTCAATCCATGTGACTAATGGTTTGTTCAGAGTTTTCTAGTTGTGACAATTGTACTGTACAAAATCAAAATATCACATTGTGCATGAGTGGATGAACTCCTCTGCCATTTAAACATTAACTTGTTAGTTAAGTATAGAGCAGTGTGCAGAGAGATTTCAGGAGTTTTGCCATAACTCGGCTGCTTTTCACTGCAAAGGGCATGAAAAGGTCATTCATCAATTAAGAATAAAAAAAATTGTTTTGGAGTAATGTCTTTAATGAAAACTGCTGGTGGTGCTGTGGAAATGAAATTTAAGTAATTAAAATACAGAATATATTTCCTGTTTCTGCTTTTCACAATGTAAAATGGGGAGGGAGAAAGGGAGAAGAAAAACCATGAAAAAAAATTGGAAGTTTGCTTGCACAAGCATCCAAATGGAGTGTCAGGCAACAGGGAGGTGGAAACCAGTTTACATCATCTTAGGGTCAGCCCTCTGGAACATCTGGCACTTCATGAAGCCTTAAATACAGATATTTGAACAAAATCTTTGTCTGGACACTTAATTTCAGAAGACTTAAATCATAAATGAAAGGAGGTAAGGAGGTTTTGAAGAAATCCTGTTGTGTTTAAAGGTACTTTTTTTCCTCCTCTCCTGTTGCTTTGGCTTTTGCATTACTGTCAAGGGAAGTTGCCTTCAATGTCAACAGCAGCCTTAATCCTGGCATCAGATCCAGGCATATTGGAGAGTTCAGCAAAAATTATGTGTAGGTTTAGTGGATATAAAGCAAATTACAGGATTACAGACTTACTTTTCAATATTCAGAATTTTTTGCTTTTTGCACTGAATCTGAAAAAATTGAAATAAAGAACTAGCTTTGCCTTTTGGAATTCTGCATGCTGAGCAACCAAAGAGAAAGTGTTCATCCAGATGCACATTTTAAGTGTTACTCCCTTGCAGAAATTTAAGTTCCTTGTCAATTATCCAGGTGAGTAGGAGGACATTCCTATTTGGCTGTCAGGTCGTGTGTATTGTGACTCTCACTTTCAGCAAGACTTTGACAGGCTTTACTTACACCTATGATTCCATCAGGTGTTGAAAACAATCTTGAAACAACTTCTGCTATTTGGGATTCTATAATTTACACAGCACATAAACTTGCTGCTTGAGGATTTTGACACCACTAAAGCCTTACCTTTGAACTGATTTCAGTACTAAAATTCCCTTTCTCTTTCAAATCATTATAATATTTCTCAGTCTGAAATGGCAGCTGCTTTTCCTGCAAGGTGACCTGCATGGCAGTGAGCAGTGAAGTGATCTTAGTGACTTACTCTCACAATATAAAATAGTCAGAAGAGCATCAGTCCAATAAATAGCTCTTTGAAGTCTTGACTGACGTACATATAATTTTTCTGGGACAACCTAAGCTGGAAGAGCCAATAAACCTCCATGATTTATTTAAAATGAGACTTGCAGAGCAGCCAGTTGGCAGCTGAGTAGGAGTTTGCAGCCATATGGAGTGTAATGGCAAATGAAGTGTGATGCTAACAGTCATGTGCATTAGGAGTAAGCTTCAGGTCCCTCCCACACATCAGTGGGTATCTAGGCTTGGGGTCCTGCACCAAATCCCCATGGGACTTTCCTGAGATGCTGACAATCAAATCCTGTTGGTTCTTATGAAAATCCACACTCAAAGAAGCTATTGAAGAAAAATTATATGATGGCAGGTCCTCAGGTGAGCATCACCTTGTCCCCAGTGAGAGCCATAAGGAGAGATGTATAATCTTGGGGAGATGTGTGATACTGGAGCATTGCAGTCAGAGATGTGACAATCACCAACTAGATCAAAGAGAAAGCTGCCTTAGCACTCAGTGACAACATTATGCTTTCATATGAAAATAGATTCATTCACTTCAGGGAGAGATGAATGGGAGGGATGTGCTAGTGGCAATATAAAGAGAAGGATCTAGAGAAAATAGATTGGGATGTGGAATTGCTCTTTTCTTCATCCAAGGACAAAGACACCCAATGAAGTGAAAGGCAACAAATAGAAAACAAATAGAAAGTGCATCTCTTATGGAAATTTACCCAGCAAAAATCCCTGTGGTTATTGCTTGAGGTCATGAGATTGGTGGCATTAAAAAAAGATAAAATGGCTTCAGAGCAATGCAAACAATTTATACTACATTAAATAAAGGCATTCTGTATGTTCTGGGGATTAGAAACTTGCTTTAGGGTATAAGGCACATGCTGGGTGAAAGGATATTTTTCTCTTCTAAGTTGTGCTGTAGTTTTCATCTGTAGGATGACTTGTATCATCTTCTGAAGCAACAACAATACTATATACAATAACAGCAGAGCTGGTGCAGTGTGCTGGACTAACTGGGTGTACTGGTCTCATCTGCAGTGGCACTTGTGTTCCTGTCAATTTAAAATGTTGGAGTTCTTTAGTGCTTGGATCTGTTAGATCTGTGGAACAAGTGGATCTGTTATACCTGATGGCAAATGTTAGCAATGTTTATGCTGTCAGAATTCAGGTCTCTAAGCTCATCAGATGAGACTAATCTTCTGATGAGCTGAGTGTACTGATGAGAAATATACCTTGGAGTTCCATAAGCACCACCTCACTAAGCAAAATAGAGAATTGGGAATGAAAATAGGGAGTATTGCTGTGAATATATATTCCAGGTCACAGGATCAGGCTTAAGTGCTGTAATAAACAAGAGTGAACAACATGATTGGGCAAAGTGGGAATTTCTTTGTTGTTAAACATGAATATTTATTTGAGATTAAGATAAATAGATGTTGCATGTCCCATTTTTGAAAGTCACAGGGTGGAAACTTGATCCCAGCTTTCAGGATAGCATTAATGAAGGCTTGGAATTGAAGCCTAGAGCCAATACAATTTTTAGCAGGCTTGTGTATGTTCTACTACACACAGCCCCAAAGGGGATGATTTGGGGGTTTTGTTGGTGCAGTTGAAGTGAAGCAGCTGAACTTCAGTGCTGAGTGTATGGAGGAGAAATGAGATCTGCTGGGGAGAGACATTTCAAACTGCTGCTTCTTGTGGGTTTGGCTGGCTTTAGGATTGGAACTAGTGGCCATTGTGAGAGACAAAATAAATGGGTAACAAGAAGAACAGTCTTAAACTTTCTCTCCTAGTCAGTCGGGAGTTTTGGCGTGGAATGTGTTGTGAAGGATCAGCAATGCAAACTGGAATGGCTGTCTCAGTGGGGTGGTTAGATTGGATTTCTGTGGTTGTGTATCTCCCTGTTGGGAAAGCTTTTACTCCTTTGCCAACTGCCATTTGTGCTCTGTCAGTACTGTGGGGCTTATGCAAGTACAAGAAATGCAACTCTAATCCTTGTTATGCCTTACTGATGGAACTTAGTCAAACAGATTAAACGGTGATATGTGTCTTGCTTCTTGCAAAGTGATAAGTGTTCCAGTGGTCTGAGCCTTTAGCCTCAAAGAAAAGTAATGACACATCTACTGATTTAAGCAGGAGAAGACTTGGATTGAAATTAAAATACTGACAAAGAAGGATGAAAAACAAACAAGACTGAAAATAAACTAGTTCCACGCTGGTTCCTGCAATAAATATTTATCTTCTCTTTAATCTAAAGGAAGAAGAAATAAAAGATCTAATTTTCCTGGAGGAAGTCTGTTATTGTATCTAATGCAGTAATAAAATTCTTTATGTCTCAGTATTTGCCATATAATGCCATAATCCTTTTTCCCAATAGTTATATTTAAAATCCTGTGTTCAAGGATTGTTTTTTATCCTCTCTGGTATACTGGTGCTCTAGGCAGTCCTGAGCTATTTTAATATCCATGGTGTGGGAGAGCACTACAAATTTAAGTGAGGTAAATGATGCTATTAAAAGCTATTGGCAGAAGGTATTTTAATGCAACAAAGCTCTTTTCCTTCCCTACCTGGTATAGAAGGTGGATAATAGTGTTTTAATGCAACAAAGCTTTTTTCCTTCTCTACCTGGTATAGAAGGTGGATAATAGTGTTGGAGCTTTAGGAAGTGTTTGGGTTTTTTTTAATACTTCAATCTTACTGTTGAGCCACTTGAAATATGTTTCCTTTTCCTCTCCAGATAACAAGGAACTTTACCTTGCAAAGGCATTGCACAAGGCATTTCTAGAAGTTAATGAGGAAGGATCAGAAGCTGCTGCTGCCTCAGGTACCTGACTGAAAAGCAGAACTAAATCAAATGTCTGCTTATTCTGTGTTAATTATTTTTTTCAACTGACTTGCTGTACAGCCAGGAAAGCTAAATAGCATGGAGACACAGCATAGGAAGTGTCCTGCTTTTGGAAGAGAATTCTGGAAATGAGCAGTGTTGGCATGTTTTTTTTACCATGTTGTGTTTCACAAATAATTCCGAGCATCCTGTGGAAAAACCTCTTCTGCCTTATTTTCTGTCTGATTGTCAGGAGAGTACAGACAGCAATTTATATTTCCTTTCTGGAAGTTCAGCACTCATCGTTTTTCATCTGCTAATTGAGGTGGTCAGAGGCATTTCATCCAGGTTAGGAGGAAATGAGAGTTGTTGCAATTGCATTTTAATAAGCTCATAAACAGAGATGCAAGATGGGAAGTGCTGAATGCAGAGCCATATCTGGCCCCTATTAGTGCTGGGGCAAGTGGTAGGCTTACACATGGTTTTCCTGAAAATAAGTTACATTAGTTGCCAATATGTATTTCTAATTGCCTCTGCTTGTGCCAGGCTTTGAGGGAAGGAAAAATTCCTTCCCTGGTGTGAGTTGAATTGTGTCATTGATATGGACAGAGCGTACTGGAATGCTTGAGTCTTGATTAAGAGTGAAGTGAAAATGTAAAAGTAAAGGAAACACTGGGAATGAATAATAATGTCCAGGAGAAATCTAGGCGTCTCCAGATAAAAATAACAAAGAGACAAATTCTGCCTGATTCTCAGTTAATTCTGCTTTCAACCTCTGTATTATTTAAAAACTCAAGCTAAAAGCTGCAGGATCAGCCCATTTAGTTGTTGCATATTCCATAGTTTTTAAGGGTTATCTTTTACTCTCCACCTCAGGCTGGAGCTGTGTAAAACAGGTCAGCAGTGCTGGCTAACGCAGTGCACTTTCTTTCTACAAGTGAGCAGAAGCCATAATTCCTCTTAAGGTTCTGGATCTTTAAATTTATAAGCTGCTCCCTCAGCCTGGGAAATTGCAGCACTCTGCATTGTTAATCACTCTTAAAGCCAAAATAGGCAATTAGTCTGCAGCTCTCTTCCATTTTCAGTTAGGTTTTTCCTTGGTAGCACTTAGGATCACAGAATCATCAAGGGTGATGGAGACCTCTAATATAATCGAGTCCAATCATTAACCTAAACTCCTAAACCATATCCTCCAGCACCAGATCCAGACACCTCTTAAACACTTCCAGGGATGATGACTTATCCACCTCCCTGGGCAATATTCCGGTGCCTGAACCACCCTCACAGGGAAAAAGTAATTCCTAACATCTAATGTGACTCTGCCCTGTCTCAGCTCAAGGCCATTCCCACTAGTCCTCTCCCTGCAGCCATGGCAGGAGAGACTATCCCCCACCTCTCTCCACCTCCCGTCAGGGAGCTGCAGAGAGCCATGAGGTCACCCCTGAGCCTCTTCTCAAGTCTAAACAAACCCAACTCCCTTAGCTGCTCCTCATACAACATGTTTTCTAGACCTTAGTGTTGAGTGTGGGACTTCAGTGGCCGCTCAGGAGCTGCACAAGTATGTCTTGTGAAGAGCAGGAGAATGTGCAGTGCTGTTTAACAAGTTGCCTGTGTTCTTTTTCCTACAGGAATGATTGCTATCAGCAGGATGGCAGTGCTGTATCCCCAAGTAATAGTGGACCATCCCTTTTTCTTTTTGGTCAGAAATAGAAGAACAGGTGAGAATGCTTCAGACTCTACTGAATCTTTCATAGTACATGAGCAAGTTTTGATCCCTTGTATGAGGAATTTCCCTGAATTTGTCTTAAAATACCTAATATTTAAAGGCTTTTCTATGTCCCCTTAATGTTTATACAAGTGAGACACCAAAATCTGGCATAACCCTGAAAAACATTCACAATTACTTGATTAAAAACCCCCAGGAGTTTTGAGAACACAATGTTACTGTCCTGAATATCCATAATCATTGCATTCCCTAAGAGCTTGGCTGTAGTAAGACCAGTGAAATATGTTCCCAGTACCAAATGATTTGCATAATGGACAGATATTACAGTTATGAATAATTCTGTTGTGCTCTCCAAGTGTTCTGTGGCAGGTGAGGGATGAGAGCAGCACTCACTAGCAAAAGGGGCAGTGATTAACTAGAGTATCCTTGCTGTTGTAGTCATATAATGAGACAAAAATGTATCTGGAAAAGCGTATCTGTACTTGTGCTCTACTCAATATACAAAAACCTCCCCAAAAAGACAAGTTTAAGTCAGAACAGCATAGAACTTTGGGGCACTTCTCAATGTTACACAGGCCTTGTTGTTGCATGTAGTTAGAGGAATTGCCAACAACTATAAGTAAAACCTGAAAGCTCATTCCTATGGTAGAAATCTAAGGTTAAAAACCTTTGGAAAAAGAGCTGTGATGGTTCCCCTTCTTGTCAGAATAGCCCAGGTGCTCAGGGTTGGTTACTGTGCTCCAAAAGGGCTGTTGAGCCATTACCTTTCATGGCTACCAAGTTCTGAAACATACGTTCCTCTAAAAATCATGCACCACATGCTCTAGAGCTTATCAGTAGTCACAGTCTTAGAACCTCAACTTCTCATTTCAATCCTGGTATCTTTCTTTCCCTTCTTCCCTTCCTGTTTTTCCCACAGGTACTGTGTTATTCATGGGAAGGGTAATGCACCCTGAAGCAATGAGTACAAGTGGCCATGACTTTGAAAAGCTTTAACTGCCACCAGCTACCAAAAAAAGGAAATAAGCACATAAAGTTTGAAGTTAATATATTTAAGGTTTGCTGTGTTTTCCCCCCAAGATACTGTTTAAAATGCTTCTGGATCTACCTATGTGCAAGTCAGTTCCCAGAGGAAAGCTTCCAGTGTTAATGGTTCTGTTCCTGTCATTGTGATTGCTGTGTCCTTAAAATAAAGTTGTGTACATGTTAACAACTGTTTCTTGTTCTAGTGCATTGTAAAGCAGAAAACTGCAAATCCATTACTTGTAATTTTTTTACAGTCCAAAGACTGATCAGTGAGACAGAGGCAGAATACATGCAGCTCTGAACCATGCAAATGGCAAACCTTGATGGTAATTTCTAGAGCTGAAGAACTACATGTGGACAGTGTTCCTATCAGAGCAGGGAACAGCCTGCAATGAGCTGTTTGATCAGAGGGAATGGAACAAATTAAGCCAAGTGGATTTTACTCTCTGTGGTAGACTTTGTGTGAACTCTCCCACGTGCTTCTGAAATGTTGCTTTTCTGGATGCTCCTGCATGTGCCTCTGCCACTGACCTTCCCTAACTGGTGATGACAACAGAAGTTGATTGCATGAATATTTGAGATTAGTCAGTGTAAAATAGCTTTGTGCGTGGCTGAAGTAAAATAGTTGAGTAGTAGTGTCATTCGTGTGGACATATTTTTCTCCCCCAAAGCAGTTGTTCTACTCTAACCTGAGCTTTTCAGGATCTCACTTCAGGGATCTAGAATGTTCTTTCTCCAAGGAAAAAAACTCCAACCCTTAATACTGAGTGTCTAAAAATGTTCTATTCATAAATAAATATCTAAAGGAGCAACAGAATCCTTTTTATTTTCTAACGTTTTCATGAGAATAAACTGACAGAGAGGAGAATGACACACACCACAAGTAAATATCAGCAGGGGAATTAGTTGGTGTTTACATTTGGAAGAGGAGGAGAAATGCCCTTTGGCACCAGAGGGGCATATAATTATTTCCTCCCTCGTTGTGCAGAGTACAAAAAGAACTGAAGTTATTAAAAAGGTAAGAGAGAAAAGGAGGGAGGAGCTCCTTTGAAACAGATCGTAAATACAAACCTTTGGATAATAAGTGGGTTTCTTCTCAGTCAATAGGAGTTTTGTCTTTGGAATTCTATGGGAACAAATGCATATTGGCTGACCTTCAGTTATGGGCTTCTCTGGCATTCATTCCCTTCAGAACAGCCTAGATATTGCTCACAAAGTTATTCCTGCAAGGAGAACTTCCAAAATTTGACACATTGTTCACTCTTTTTCTACTGCTGGTACAAATCATGCAGGTCAAACCAGGACGTGATGGATGTTCTCCATGGAGGCTGGTTATGCTCCCTTGCAGAAAGGGCACACATTTCCAGCCATCCCTCCTTGAATTGTTTCAAACCTGGGACTCTCTAGTGCATTGCTGTTGCTTATTACCCTTAGTGTATTACAGACTGGACTTGGAGAGACAGTTTTTATATTCAAATTTAGACAAAAATCATAATTTTAATTCCATATAGCTTGCTTGGGAGGGCAAAAAAAATAGGGAGTGCTGCTCTTCTAGAAGGACAGAAGGGGCTAATTTTACCAAGACACACAACTAGTCTCACTGCAGGTAAAATGAGCTCCTTTGATGTGCAGTTACACAAGGGCTGGTTCTTATTTTAATAGTTAAATGTACATCCTCTCATGTCTGTAAAAGTGACCCTGAGAGTCTCTTGTAGGTTTAATCTTATGAGAGCCTGATTTTTAAGCTATTACCTTTTTTCAGGCTAATTTTGGAGGTGTTCACTCTGATTTGGAAAGATACGAGAAATCCAGTGCCAACCCTCAGTTGTGTTTCTTTTCAATCCAGCAGAAGTTCTTCCTGACCAATTTTGTGTTTTCCAGTTCCTTGCAGCTTAGCTGCTCCCTGCCAAGGGAAGGACTGAAGGTAGGTTTGAGCTAAAGCTATGGAATTTTGAAGGACAGCTGCCAGGCAGAAGTGTTTATAGAGGATATCAGGCAAGTGCACAAACCTCCCCACCAGTTAGATTGAGCACAGGTGCAAGTGGAATAATGTGGAATCATATATTCCAAGTTCATTCTGACAATTGCCTAAGTCGGCACAGAGGAAAACCAGCAGAAAGATAAATGCAAACACGAGTGATTTCACTTGCTGCTCTCCTTATCCTTACAGATGCAAAATAGCCATTTTATGTTTCTTGAAAATTGAGAATTAACTGGTTTTCAACAACATGAATTGCTTTATTTCCAACATATGCAAATATGTTAGTTGTAGAGCACAATGAGAACAGCTCTCAAACAATACTTGTATGCAGTAGTGATAATATCTTAAGCATTGTTACCAATTTACTGAGGTATATGAATACTATTCTATTCTGTGTTTTAATCTAGATTTTGTACAATGTTCCTTTCAAAGATGCTGTTGCTTTTTCAATACAAAACTAGCAACATAATTTTGTCTTTTTGTTTGGGTCTATTTTTTGATAAGGGGAATTTGTCAACAGTAGCTCATATGTGAGTTCAGGTGTGTAGTCTTAAAAATCTTTAAATTGTATTTTGTGTTGGAGGTTATATCAGATAATAAACCACTGAAACTTCTCTAATTGTGCTGTGTAAGTGACCCATGGTGTGACACTGACTGCTGAGATCCTTCTGGGATGAGTTGGAGTTGAAGCATGAGCTACAGCTGCTTAATGATATCCTCTTCTCTTCCTTGCACACATGTCCTAGAGTCCAGGTGGGAATCCTGTTCAGAGCTGTAGTTGGAAAGAATCCTTTTAGTAGTGATGCCACCACTGGATATTGACTTACTTAACTAATAAGATCCCACTTGTCCATGACCTCAAGTGCCAAGAATTTTGAGAGTCTACATTGAAACAACAATGTCATGTTGTATAAATTAGAATGTGTTTGTGGCTGTTTCAAGCACAAACTTTCACTCTCCTTCCACAAGCTTTGATGGTGGCAAAGTAAACTGTTGTATCAATGTCCATAAATCAAGTACCTGATATTCCTCAAATAAGATCTTGGTGTTATACCAGAAACAAACAAACAAACAAAACCAAACATAGTCAAAGCTTTTATGGCTAATTTTTATTTGTCAATGGTGGACAAAAGAAGAAGCCACAAGATGTCACTCTATCCTAAGGAGCTGAGAAGGACTTTCCTTTTGACAGTAATCCTGTGGGAGTGTTGGAAAGCTGAATATCCTGACTGGGACTCAAGCATATACAGATGTCAGTAAAATTAATGAGAGTTGCTTGAGTTTGGAGCATAGTTAGACACAGGTTCCTGGGATTAATAATAGGACAGGGGGAACAAACCCCCAAAATACTTTCTCTGTGTTGCACACTTTGCTCTGATTCTTGGTAGCATACTGCTGGATGAAATTCATTGCTCACAGGGGAATTTTTGTCCAGTTCCTGACCTGCATGATGCATTGTGTGCCTGGTGTGGGGGTGAAATAACAGGAATAGGTTGTTCTTTCAAGCCAACTCCATGAATAGCAGCAGAGCTGTACTGGGTTTACCTCAGGGAGTCAGTGCTGCAACAGGAGACATTTTCTTGACTCCAAGAGAGAAATAAATAGGGTTGAAGTCATTGATATAGTGCTCCTGTTATTCTGTTGTTCTCTTTCACTGCCTCTTAAATTTCCTCCCTCCCTCTCTGCCTTACACACAGGTACTAGAATTTCTGTGTGAGCAGATCCCCAGCATGTTCTCCCCTTGTGCAGTGAGGTTACACCACTGCCAGGTGTTCAGCTCCCTGGGGAGGAGGCAATATTGTTCCTACGAGGATTTTCTGAAATGGATACAACAAGGTCTACTCCAAAAGTGTTGTTGAGTTGTTCTTGTCCCTTTTAATGGACAACCTTTGCTTTTGTCCCTAGAGTGGAAAATGGAAATAAATGGATTAGAAAGAGATGGATGATTTCCCCCCAAAACCCAGTGCCATGGAGGAGAGGAAAATGGTATCTTAGTAACTGGGTACCAGCAAGAAATGAGGTGACTTCCCTCATGAGCTACTCTGCATCTTCTGACACAGTTGATGAGAAATTGTAGATTAATTTAGCTTGTAAAACTGTCTGCAGGCCCCAAGGGCTTTGGATCAAGCTGCCATAGTTACAGGGGTCCAGACAGAAGAGACTCCAGCTGCTTACTAGGACCTCTGTTAACTGGTTTGGCTTCCAGCTGTCACTGGTTAAGGGCTGTAAAACAAAGTAACACATGAGAAACCATTTGCAATACACAGAGTTGGTACTATAAAACTCATGTACACTATGTATTTGTCACCACCTCTGTCAGGACTTCTCCAGTGATGTTCTCTTTCTATAGCATTGCCTTACATCAGCATCCACTTGAATATTTTTCATTTTCCATCACTAATTAGCAGCCTGAGTCATGGACCAGTTGCTCTAAGCAATAGGCAAACCGAATAAAAAGACAAAAGTCATGTAATAGATTGAAATTGTAGTTTCTAGACAATAGCACAGTGCAATAGTCAAGACTGTGAGGCTGATGGAGGATATCAGGCTTAGTCACTCTGGCAAGTAAATGGAGAGGTGGGAAAGATAAATGTATTCTCCCAGATTCAGACCGTGGTCGTAAAGTTCTAGTTCTGCTAGGACCTGGCTGAGGTCCTGGAAGAATTGAGATAGTTCCTGCAGCTCAGGAGTTCAGCCCATTGCCTGAGTTTTATCTTTTCAGCCACACTGAATCACAATAGGAATGACATTTTGGATATGCCACATGCTTTACTGATAACAAGTTGTTTTGCTATCTCTCTCTCATGAACACACATCTTCCCCATGGAAGAGTCATCTTTTGGACAAACTGAGGGAAAATTCCTACTAAAAATGGTTCTGTATTTGTGTAGAAGTGCTTTTAAGGAAGGAAAACACAAACAGAGGAAATCTGGATTGTGTCTAAATCATGCCTTTAGTGTTCTCATTAAGGGATTGGAAAAAGATGAGCTTCAACCATTCTTTCAAGTGTTCTAATGCTACCAAACTGTTTAGACTTAGTCATAGTTTAACATTTTAAGTCTATTTACATGTATTTCCTAAGAGCTGTGTTTTAAAACCAATCTGGAGTACTCACAGGTGGTAACTGAGATAGCATTGCCTGAGCATAGTGAATTAAATGGGTCAAGACCTAATAATAAATAAATGACATCAGGAAGTCCATCTTG